CGGGGGGGGGGGGTTTTTTTTTTTGGTTTTTTTTTTTTTTTTTTTGGGTCATTTCATAAAACTTTTCAATCCAATAAAGCATGTAGTCTCTATTTTACCAGCCGGGCTCTGCTGCTCTCTCCTTCCAGCCCCCCCCCAGCTGCCAGCAGGGACAGACGGACACCCCGGACCTGCCCCAGCACCCCGGGGTCTCTGGCCACGAGCAGAGCCCTCTGCCACAGGGTCTGGGGCAGGAGCTTCTCTGCTCAGCACCAAAAGTGACCCCAGACCATCCCCACCGGTGCTGGGCTGTGTGGGAGGTGCTGGTGCTGCCCCATTTCTGCTGCTCAGGAGCCCTGAATCACCCACACGTTGAGTCATGGGATTATTTTGGGTGGAAAAGACCCTGAAGCTCATCCAGTCCCACCCCTGCATGGGCAGGGGCACCTCCCGAGCAGTTTCAGGAATGGCTCCGTCTCTCATTCCAGGTTCTCTGTGGTGTCCTCACCTCCCAGAACAGCCGTTCCTTCCCGTGGGTGTCTGTGCTCTCCTGGTCTGTTTGCTGGGAACACCGGGAACAGAGGTGTGGGATTCCTGGGAAGCAGCCACCTCCACACGGGCTCAGCTGCTGCTCCTCTGCAACCTGTGAGCTGACAGTGGAACAGGCAGCAGTTCTGCAGCTCCCCTGCTCCAGGCACTGAGTCATCTCCTGCTCCTCCACATCTTCCTGGGAATGCTGGGTTAGATCCCTCATCTCCTGCTGTGCACCAGCTTCTGGCTGTGCCTCGGCGGGATGAAGGGGCTGGAGCAGGAGGAGAAGGGGCTGGAGAACTTGTGAGGAGCAGCTGAGGGAGCTGGGGGTGTCCAGCCTGGAGCAAAGGAGGCTGAGGGGAGACCTGCTGGCTCTGCAGCTGCTGAGAGGAGGTTGGAGCCAGGGGGGTCGGGCTCTGCTCCCCAGGAACAAGCGACAGGACAAGAGGGAACGGCCTCAAGTTGTGCCAGGGGAGGTTGAGGTTGGATCTGGGGAACAATTTCTCCCTGGCAAGGGTTGTCAGGGCCTGGCCCAGGCTGCCCAGGGCAGGGGGGGAGTCCCCATCCCTGGGGGGGTTTCCAAGCCCTGGAGATGGTGCTGAGGGACACGGGGCAGGGGTGGGGAATGTTTGGACTGGGTGATCTTAGAGGCCTTTTCCAACCTAAATGATTCCATGACTCTATGACTGGGCTTGGCCAGATCTGATGCACAGTCCCCCTCTCTGGCCATTGCCATCCCCCTGCACCTGGAGCCAGCCCTGAATGGGCCCTGGAACCAGGACTGTCCCCCTCCCCTGGAGCAGGGAGAGAGGAGAAAGGGGCCAATTTCAAAAACAGGGTCAGCAGAAACAACCTTTTTTCACCTGAGTACACCTTTGCAGGATGGGAACGGGTGATGAACTGCTCAGGGATCCACTGATCTGGTGACCTCTGGAAGACTGTGAGGGTGGGGTGATCTCTGTGGGGTGACTGCAACTAAATAGTCAGGAGCAGAAGGGAAAACTCATCAAGGGAGGAAACCAAAGCAAGAAAGTCTTCCTTCTGGGTGGCTGTGGTCACCTTCACCTCACACCCTCTGCTCCAAGAGCAGAGGAGGGTCCTGCAGCTTGCAAGAGAGGCCATCAACATCCAGCAGTCTGCAGACAAGCAGCCTTTCTGCAGATCTTCCTGGGTCAAGGAATTAACTGCAGTTCCACCCCAAGGAGGGAATGGAAGAGGTACTTTTAACTTGTAGGTGGCAGAGCTTTGTGAACAGTTGGCCCAGGGCAACTTGAGGGACCAGTAATCAGAGCTGGGGACTTGGCACGGTGTGACATGACACATGAACACCCAGGAGGTGGAGGATGAGACTCTTCCATCTGTATTTTCTCCTCACAGACTGGATCCCACCAGAAACCCCCCAGACACCTGAAGCTTCCACTGTAGCCTCAGGGCCCTCAGAGCAAGAGTCACGAGCAGCCCAGGTCTTTGTCCCTGGCAGGACTGAGTACTGAGTCTGTTTCTGGAGCCCCCAACACAAGAAGAACACGGAGCTCATGGAGATTTCCTAATATCCAGCCTAAACCTCCCCTGGTACAACTTGAGGCTGTTTCCCCTCATCCTCAAGTAAGTTTGGGAGTGGCTGGAGAGGGTCCAGTGTTGGTGGGCAAGACTCAGGGAGGAAGGTATCATGGTGGGACTCTGTCCTGGACCAACCCCCAAGCAGCATGAAGAAGCAGAGGAGAAGCTTCAGCATCTCCAGCCCATGTTTTCATGGGGGATTTCAACTCACCAGGTGTCTGCTGGAAATGGAGTCCAGCAGAGAGGAAAGGGGTCTCTGCAGGAGGGTCCTGGGGGTGTGGAAGGGACCTGCTGCTCCTGGGTGAGCTGGTGCTTGGGGCGATCCTGAAATGAGGGGGTTGTGGGTTCTGGGAGCAGGGAGGAAGGAGCTGAGCAGAACAGCCACCCGGGCTGCCTGGCTGGTGTCCTGCAGGACGAGGTCACCCCCTCCATGGGCTCC